CACTCAATCCGCTTCTTACCGAATGATGGAAAGATTTGCGTCTGAGGCGGGGTTGCCCCCTCTCACAAAGGGTGTTCCCATGCTCCGTTCAGGTCCAGCAGAATCGATGCTGGCAGAGCCCCGTCTGCGGATTTTAAACACTCTTAGGCACAGCAAGAAAATACGATAACGGTTTTTGCACTGTCAGTAATTGAATTAATAACCTTAACAGCAGCTCCGTGATCAACCTGAGCAAGCTGGCACRTTCCCTGCCCATGGCWGGRRTTGGAGCTRCATCATTTTGAGCGTCCCTTCCTACCCAAACCATTCCAGAACTCGGATTCKGTGATACATAAATCCCTGACGAGAGAGTTATGAGGCACTGAAATTGAGAAGGTGTTAGTAAAGCGGCAAAGTTGGAGCAAAAGCAGATGGRTGGAACTCGGGGAGCGCAGGGCTGTGGGCAGGCGGTGGCGCTGCGCCCTGGGAAATCCAGCCGGGATGCGATGAATTCGGGCTGAGAGACTTCGGGGAAAAAAACAGGAAAAATCAGGGTTCTGTGTGAAGGAGCGATCACCAGAGTCGTGATCTGGAACAGGACTGAAACAGGATAACAGCAGAAATTATTTAAATTACAGCAAAATTTCAATAAATGCAGCAAAAGTTGGGACTGGCAGCTAGCTGCAAAATAAAATAAAATGGTCATGTCAARACCCTTATTTTTATAATGTCTCACCAATCTTCCATCATTTACCTTTGCAGCAACAAAAAAAAAAATGAATTAGAGTTGTGTCTTGCGACATGAAGTGACCAGGAAGGTTGAGGTCAGGTAGCTCACTCCTGKTTGCTTTCAGGTTGCTATTAAAAGATGTGCATTAATTTTTTTATAGCTGTGACAGTTTTTAATTAAAAAGTGTTTCTATGTTCCAGCAGGAGCTCAGGGGAGCTGGTAATATTGGCAGGATGAGCTGTCTGGGTGGTGTCTTTTCCATGTTTATCAATAAAGGCATATCCTTGACTTCACCACCACCCACAGATCACAGAATCACAGAATGGTTTGGGTTGGGAAGAACCATAAAGATGGTCTTATTCCAAACCTCTTCCATGGGCAGGTACAAACTGGGAAGAAAAATTAGTATTTTCCTTACGTTCAACATTGGCAAAAAAAAAATCAGTTGTAAGAAAAGCAATTCAGAGATGTTGGAGTGTGATTTAAAGTGGTGACCTGACTCTGACTGTCTCTTATTTTACTGCCAGGCTCCCAGATGAATATTTTTAACACAGATATTTATCCCCACCAATGTCAGCAGTGCTGAAAGAAAGCCAGGGAAAGAGTTAAGATGGGCCAAAGCATTAAGAGGCTTGGGAGCATGGGAAATACCAAGCAAAATGATTGCATAGGGGAAATATTTTTATATCTAATTATCATATATCCACATTTTTACAGGCTAATAATAGCCTAGTTGTTCCTCTACCAGAGAAGCTGTAATATATCAGATACCTGTTTTGCCCTGTGTGGTGAGGATAAAACCTTCATTTCCTGTTGGGATAAATAGAGATGGGCTGCAGTKTGCAGCGTGGGGTAAAACTATATGTGTCACTCAGGTACAGCAAGGTGGGGAGTAAAGTATAGGCTGGGCAGTAATGAGGCACAGGGTAAAGCAGAAGGAGAGCAMAACCTGCTGAATCCAGCATGCTGGATCTAGCAGTGGGAGAGAAATAGGAAACTTGAGATCATCTGTCCCCTGTGAGGAGAGGGGAAATTTAGAATTATGGTGCACACTTAAATGTAAGGTTGTTTCCTGAGACCCGTGCTCAGAGGGAGTTGTTGATAAGAACAGATTGTTACTATCTTGTGATAATAACTGAACAAGAATGTGTATTCCATCCAGGAGAACTGTAATGTCCCTATGCTCTCATTAATTAAATCCAGAATGTCAAGCACAACAGAGGTACTGGCCTAATTTTATGGGAGTGGGGATGTATGTTTGGTTATACAGTATTTTACTCATCTCTCAGACTAACAATTTCACTCTCATTTACCCTGAAATTGTCACTTACCTGATGTCCGTGTGTGCACAGCTGACTGCCAGATCCAAGGAGGAATCGGGGAATAAAGCAGGTTTATAATGCAGCAAACTGAGCAGTGTGAGTTTTCCATCATGACACTGTGCTGATCCCAGCAGCTCACACTGAGGGTGAACTGTACTGCCAACCTGTGGTATATAGAATTCATGAGTTAGGCATGTGAACACATCAAGTTTATGAGGTTAACAAGTAACATTTTTCTTTAGKAATAAATTTTCCTTCTCCTAGTAAGTTTGTTTCTGAGTTGGGATCAACATTTTTAGCTTTCACGTAGCATCATAAGGACAATAACTTTATTCTTTTCTAAAATTTTCATTTTTAAAGRTAGCCAAGACAAGAAAAACAAAGTAGCATGTAATTTGCAAAAAGAACATACCATCTTTTTAAAATATCATACAAAACTGGCCTCCTGCCAGTGGCAAATTTGCAGAAATACTTCACTGTACCCCTTTGAAAAAGAACACATTCCTCAAGCTATTATTAAAAAAAAGTTACTCATGAAGAACTATCCATCTGTGCCTGAAGTTAATAGCTCCTTTTGCAACGATGGTATCTCCTGTCAGTTGTTCTTTCACAAATCCATGAGAAAGCAATGCTCTATAAAATGAGAAGTCAGAAGAAAATGAATCTAGTAAACGGACTCTCCTTGGAAAACATCCGTGGTGAAGTTATGCTTCAGCCTGGATTTAAATCCATATACATCACCCCGTGCTGCCCATGTTTATGTTCGACCACAGAAGATTTGTGGTTGACCTACATAAGCAAACAAAACATTTGCTGCATATTTGGGGTGGGGGGATTTGCATGATAGAAGATGATGAAAATATGCATAATTGTAGATGACATTTTTCATTGCCAAGTCCTGCTGCACAGCCCTTAGGAGCTGGCCATGCATGAAAGAGGTTTGCAGTCCTGACGGGCAGATTGCCTGGCCGTGCTGYGGAGCTGAACCGCCGAGACATTAAGCTTCTGTTTTCTTCTTGAGCAACACAAATCTCACCACTTGAGCTATAATCATCTCACCAAGCAGCCCCTGTGCTCACAGAGGACACATATGACACTCGCTGAGGGGGCTGAAACCATGAGTCCCACATGTCACCTCTGAGTTCACGTCAGGCTCAAAGGTTTATCCTGTGAGTTTTGGTTTTCCTGAAATCCCCAATGCATCAGGGGGTAGCATCAGTCAACAGTAGCTAGTTTATCAGTTCTTGGCCCCACATTTCTTCCCACAGCARGAAAATCTAGGAAGTCTCCTGGTGTGTTAGTACACAGGAGACTTTGCTCTAAAAATTGCACCAGCACAAGTAAATATTAATAATGTTGATAAAGTGGCGTGACAAACCCAGATCTCCTAGGTTAGTAAGCATGCACAGATCTCTCAGCTCTTACACATGTGATATGGAAGTGCTCTCCTGTAACAGAGGTTTTGTCTGTCATTACGGGATGTCTGTCAGGTTGCTCATCCTATGTCACATCTTATTCATCATTTAAAACCTCTGCAACTCTGCTGTGCAGAAGTAAGTCCTTAAAAGGGTTAGCAGAAGGGAGGAAAATTCCATGGCATGAAGAGCAGGTCTTCTCTGGAAAGCAGAAAGCATGTCGTCCCTCTAAAACCCCTTCACTGAGTTGTGAGGGTGGGTTTGGAAAAACCTGACAGGATCAGACAGGAGCAAAAGCTCCCTTCCCTAAAAACCAACTGAGGAACCAATTAAAGAACCTGATCCACACCACATTCGAAGTCTCCTCAAAAGATAAAGCCATGTAAGAAGAGAGACTTCCATGCAGAACAAATGTTGGGTCAGGCAGAAATGTGCAGTACCTAGGTAAGGGAAAGAGAAGGAAAGAAATCTTGGGAGCCTGCGCCCGAGAAAAAAGCTGATACAAACCTATYCCCTGCAAAAACACTTGCAGCTCTGAGCCAAGAAGCTGTCTTGGGGCTTCACTCCTACTGTGTTCAGAGAAACGGGACTTTCWGTGAGTGCTTTGCACATCAAAGGAATAACTCACTTAGTACCTCCATGTGATGCAAACACCCACCATGAGGTTTGGCCAACTGTTCAATGCTACTCAGGGTTTGTTTATACTAAATCCGTGACGATGTCCTGTGTAAATTCTTCATTCCACATATTTGACCAGTTTCATTGTCCAGAAGAAAAGGCATACAGCTTTCTTACTTCCAGTGGAGTCAAAGAATTTTCTTTGCCCAACAAACAAACTAGAAAATTAACAGCTTTTAAAGTTTAGCAGCCTTCAAACTCGATTCTCAAACACAAATCCAAACCATTAACYTTAGGAGAGTTAAGCCCTATGAAAAGTTCACAGAAGTTCATGAACAGGGAGTATTAAACACCTCCATTGAATTGTGATCTAACAGAAACTGGCACTGCAAGCTTTATTAAATCACAGTTGCCTTCTTTTTCTCAGGATTCCCATGAGATATTTCTTCCCTCCTACCCAAAGGATTTTATAATCTGCGGGATACTGGAGAGCACCAAAATGGAATCAAAAAGACCATTCTAGTTATTTCATCCTGTTCTTTCTATCGGATTAAAAAAWTTAAGTATCCCAAGTGAAGTCCATGTGCTCCCACGTATATAGGAATGCTCTCGTGGCAATGGGAGGGTAACGAGGAGAGGCTTCGAGCAGCTCAGCACGATGGCAGGTTCCTGCACGCCTCAGCTGAAATGCAGGATTGCAGAATCAATGTAGACACTCACCAGCAGTGGCTGTGTTAGGTTTTTCCCCATATGAGTTGAGCTTTGCTGGCGTTGGCATCAAAGGAAGAATGAGCACAGCCTGGCTGGGTGGCATCTCCTCCTCCTTGGGCTTSGGAGAACCAAAGACCTGAATGTTGCTCCAACAGTCCAAGGGCATTTGCACACAAAATCTAGGTTATTCATTCAGGTCAACAGATTTTTTTTTKATCAAGATATGTACAAGATAAGAAAAGTGCCACGAAATGTTCTRAGTATGCACTAAACATCAGCACAGACCCACAAAAAATCACCAACAAAGAATTAAACCGATGCGTCTGCAGGCGAGATGTGTATCTAGAGGAGCATCTTGGATAGAGACCAACTGACAAAAYCCATATTGAGTTATGCTATGTAAAAATGGGATTAGCATAAACTTGTGAATATTTAAATGAGAATGTAATACAGTGTTAGAGCTTGGAAGAATTCTATCTGGAAACAGAAAAACTTTACAGAGGGCTGACCACAGAACCCTCCCAAAGTGCTGCTAATATCTCAAAATACTTGAACATGTAGGGTCAYAGTCTGTGAACCAATGTTAATTCCTTGGGCTTTTTCTCCCTCTCTTAATTATAAGTTTCTGGATTTTTGGCTCTTGCCCATCTCCCACTGACTTARAAGTACTCAGAAATGCCAAGAAGCTCAGGGTGATCACACTCCTGAGATGGATATAGGGAACTGCGCACTGCCTGCCTGTGATCAAGCTTTTCTTTCTTGCTAATGCAAGAGCCACATAGAAGGTGGTGTCCAACAACATTCAAACATCTATCTGGGAGCTATCTGTATGACTGAAAAATTAATTCTGGGAAACCAGATGAGATCCATGGGAGCACATGTAACTCTCCACYCTTTGGACTCTACACAATTCACATTTCTGATCATTCCTGTTAATGGAATGTGCTGTACTAACAGTCAGAATACAAACCTTGGGCCTTGCCATCACATCAGTGCACATGCCTCATCCTTTACCAGTGTTGGTGCCCACTGAGGAACGTCACACTCAGGCGTGCCAGGTGTCCCAGAGTGGCATCCGTGAGGGTTCACCTGGGCCTGGCAGTGCCACTGAGACAGAACTGGAAGGAAAGAAAACTGTGAGGACACAGGGTGCCACAARTCCTGGCAGTATAGAGTCATACAGTGGGCATCAACTATTTGTCAGACTTCTGAGAGAGGGCATATGCGAATTACTAATGGAGCAGTAAGTCACTTTGATATGGGACATTCAAAATGTAGCTGGCCACTCATGCAGGAGACAGAATGGCTGGAGATGGAAGGGACCTCTGGAGATCACCCAGGCCAACCCCCTGCAAAGGCAGGGTCACCTGAAGCAGGTGACACAYGGGTACATCCAGGKGGGTTTGGAATGTCCCCACAGACAGAGACTCCAAGWCCCTCCTGGGCAGCTGTTCCAGTGCTCTGCCACCCTCAGTGAAAAGAAATTCTCCCTCACGCTCAGGTGAAACTTGTTGTGTGTTAGATGATGGCCACGGCCCCTGTCCTGTCGCTGGGCACCATCCTCTGTCACCCCTGGAAGGTATTGGTAAGGATTGACGAGATCCCCCCTCAATCTTCTCCAGACTATACAGGCCCAGCTCCCGCAGTCCCCCCACAAGCGAGATGCTCCAGACCCCTCCTCACGTTCGCGGAGCTCCCCGGCGGCGGCTCCGCGGCGGGGCCGGGGCGGGGCGGGCGGGCAGGGCCGGGCAGGGCCGGGCGGCTCCCACCGCCCCTCACATCACATGAGGGAACTTCGGGCCAATGGCGCCGCGCCGGGGCCGGGGCCCCGCTCGCTCCCGCGGACGCTCATTCAAAACGCGGCCGGGCTCTGGCGCCCGCAGCCCCGCACGGCGCCCGGGGCTCGGCGGGGCGGGCGCTGCCGGCCGCGATGCCCGGCGGGGCTGTGGGCTGAGGCGGCCGCCCGCCCGCCGCCATGCCGGTGAAGAACCGGTACAACCTGGTGGACGATGGCTGCGACTCCCGCGTCCCGCTGCACAACGAGGAGGCCTTTCAGCACGGCATCCACTTCCAGGCCAAGGTGAGCCCCGGGCGCGCTCCCCTCCACAGCCCCCGGCCCGGGGGGCGCGGCGGATCCCCCGCCCGGCACAGCCCCGCGTTCGGGGGTTCCTCGGCAGCGATCCCCGGGAGGGATCCCCCTCTCTGGCTGTTGCCCAGAGGAGGCTCGGGKTCCCCGCGGGCTCGGGTCCGGTGCTGTCCAGCAGCCACCGGTGTGGCACCCACTGGCCTCGGGCCGATGGCCCCGTGGCTCGTGGCCGTGCCCCCCCAGCTCTGCCACGGTTATTCTTCATTTCTGGCATCGCCCTTGGGCCACGCCGAGGGACCGTAAAGAAAACAGCAATCCATTATGAAAGCCTTTCATTTAATTAGTACAATCAAACAGGTTCTTGCTCTTTTCCTAGTATTTTTGCAGCTTTAATCCTTAAACGCTGCCTTGTGCGCTTCATTTGGGAGCTGTTCTGGAATGACCCCTCTTGACAGCACCATGGATGCTGTCCCAGGTGCTCATCCCTGCCTGGTCCAGTGCCTGTCCTGTCCCACATYGGGCTGCCCTGTCCTGCCACGACAGCTCCCTATTTCCCTGGAAACCATCAGACTGCTATGTGCTGCTTAAATAATAGTGCCTTACTCCAGCTGACCTCTTCTCTGCATGAAAAGCTGGACAGCCAAGGTCTGCAGCCTTCAGGCCTCAGAAAGAAATACTGATATTGTCAGAAATTCCTTATTGATCGTGAARAGCAGCCTGGCAGCCCAGCAGCACTCTCAGAAAGTGACTCCATTGGAATTGGCATTCTGTAGACAGCATGGGGAAAGGGTTTATAATTCAGCTGACAAGAAGAATTGCATTTTGCTGGAGCTACTCACAGGCTCCCTTCCCCTCTTTGCAGGTGGCCTAACACAGATTAGAAATGGAATTCACGCCTGCTGTCTCCTGAGCTGGAAAGAAGGGGCATATACATTCCAATAAAGCTTTGAAATACGGATTTTGTGCCTCTTGGTTTTCCTGCTGAAAGAGCTGTAAGATTTAAGCAGGATACAGGATGAATCTGAATAGACAGCTAATCGTGTATTTTAAAAATCTGTCTTTCTTAGGGAAGAAAACATTTAATCTGTGATTTCTCTATTTAAATTAACATTTGCTGTGCTGTAGACTSTGCCGAGGAGAAGAAAAATCCTTAATTTGATTTTTAAAAGATGGGAAGCAACTGTACCTTTAACTGGGTGAAACTGGCTTTTCAKATTGACAGCTCGAGGCATCCAGAGCTAGCGAGTGGATAACACACTGTTAGGATGTGTGGGTCTGGGATGGGGTTTCCATTACCTTAGTAACATGCATGCTCAGTTCTGCTTTACAGTCTGTCTCTTCCAATTATGCTGCTCATTGTGGGCACATCAGTCAGCTGTGACGCTGACAATGACAAGGCTGCAGCTGGCTGCAGGTGTCTCGCACCAGGCAATCTCACTGACCACTCTCTAATCTCTGCATTCCAAACTGCCTTACTTCCCCTGTAATCTTCAGGAGGTCAGTACTGGGAGCTGCTTGTTWGGGCAGAGCTTCATGTGCTGTTTCATGAGTTTCATGGCKCTGGGTGGGAGCACAYCCAAACTCTGCAGCCGGACCAGAGYGGGSRGTTTGAAAGCATCTCCTCWAGMTCAGSAATCACCAGCTGTCCTGTTGCCCCAGTGTATCAGCAGGAGCATGGCCTGTTCTCCAGTGCAGCTCTGCTGCTGGCACACAAAAGGCCAGCCAGCTGCAGGGAGCTCATCTGGATTATCTGTGACCATCCTGCTGGCCCCGGCAGAGCAGGGAAGGAGATCTGCACACCAAAGGGGCCACAAATCCGAGCAATACAGCTCTGCCCTCCCCACCAGCCCAGAGGGAAGCCCTGGCTCTGCTGCTCCCCTCCCTGCTGCCCTCAAGCTCTTGTGCTCTGAGCTTGGCTCTCCTGTGGTTTACCAAAGGCTATAGCTGAACTTAACTGCTCTTAAAAATGCCATTTTGCAAAGGCATTTACAGAAGCAGCAGCAAAGCCAGATAACCTTTCAGATTGCTTGTGGTGTTTATTTCAAGGCAGGAGAAAGAGCAGTAAATACTGAGTCAGGAGAGCTCATCTCTGAAAGCCCTTTTAAGTAGACATTTTACAAGATAAGGCCCATCACAATCTGCAAGTAGTACAGTGGAGAAATAAAACCAGAACTGTGTCAGTAACAGCAATACCTGTGGGGCTGTTCTGGGGAATTATTTTGTCTCTGTTCATATGTATAATATCACCTGAATATTTGCAGGGGCCTCCTATTAGCTACTCCCTTTCCTCTCCACAAGGGAACAATTTCCAAAAAAACTAACCACTTGTAACCACCACAAAACCCAGAAACAGTTCATGAACCAAATGCTCCTGGGAGGGTCACTAAACTTTGTGAACTGCCCTCTGTCTGCCCCACAACAGCAGAGATTGTCTGTGTTACCCTGAGGGAGCTGATGGGCCCCCACCAGCACCAAACCCAGGACCTGCCCTCTGCTGCCAGGGCCACTCCCAGCTCATGCTGGCATTGGGCCTCACCCTCTCACTCAGAGGACATTCTCTCTGTCCTCACCAACGTGCCCTGGATATGCAGGTTATCCCTCAGAGCTGACCCTCACCACTTACAGCATCAGTGGCCTTTGCTCCCCGCAGATGTGACTGTCCAGGACGCCACATTTTCCTCCTTGCCCAGGCTGAGCTGGCAGCTTTGTGCCTCCTCCACTCAGCAGTACAGCCGTGCCACGTGTGCCGTCACCAGTGCCACCTCCTGCCAACAGGTGCTCGAGCAGGTTCTGCTTTGGCACACGAGGGSAGGGAGCAATGGCAGCAGCAGGAAGCTGCCTGCAGATCTTCCATGAAAACCTGTTGAGCACGGGCAGTGTACTGCCATTCCATGCAGGAGAACAGGCTGCCAGCTCAGGGAGGCTGCACTTGTGGGAGAGCTGGAGGTGATGGGAACGTGCCATCTGCCATGTCYCAGACCCCAGTAAGAGACACTGCTAGGACTGACACAGACACACAACCCCAAACAGCATGGCTAGGACTGCTGCTCCCCTAGGCAGAGTTAAAAATGGGATTGTAGGACACACATTTGGGTAGGTTTACCAGGATTCTGCAGACAGCTGAGCTGCTCCAACCRAGCAGGGACAGCAGTATCCAGAGGGAGCATGGTCCAGACTGAAAACAAGCCTTTTCCAGGAAAGGTGTTTGTTGCACATCCTGGCAGCCTTCCAGCTCTTTGTTTTGAGCAGGTGCAGTAAGGAGGAACAAAGGATAGACAGTYCCATTTTCAGACACACAGGCTCATGAGTCAATTAGCAGCAGACATTGCCCTGCAAAGCAGTGGTAAAAGCACATCCAGAATCTGAATGAGGTCAGAGCCTCACACTCCACCTCTGAAATCCCTGGCTTGATAATGTTACCTACAACAGATACTTCTATCCTGTCCTGGGTCAAAGGAGTCTAACCAAGGAGGGACTAAATAAATGAAAAATGCTGTCTGTTGTGAAGAAGCCCACACCATGAACTGGTACATCACTGCACAGACATCTCACTGTTGTGTCTTTCAGTACATCGGGAGCTTGGATGTGCCCAGGCCCAACAGCCGTGTGGAGATTGTGGCAGCCATGAGAAGGATCCGGGTAAGTTCAGAAGAGCTGAGCCCCACACAGATTTAAAGGTTACACTCCCTRGAGTGACTTGGTTGCAATCTCTTGTTCTGCTTTCCCTCCAGCCCTTTCTATCTGGAGCTCAAATCTCAGCACAATCAGGTTTGCAATAAGCTTCTGCAGAAATTCCCAAGGCATCTTAACATAAGCCCATCCTGTGCTCTTTGCAAAGAGATCAGTTATCAAAACTCAAACATAACCCCCTCTTCTGTGCTGAGTAACCATGGRGCTTCTCCTTGAATCTAAGAGATTTATTTAGCTTGTTTGGAATTTTGYGTGTGTGAAGAATAAGCTGTATACAATGTGCTCCACCAAAGCACTTGAGTTCATTGACAGTTCCAAATATATTGTGTTATATATTGAAATATCAGTGCCCTGACAGATGAGATTGATGTAAATCCCATCAGACTAGACTCTGTGGATTCTGCTGCTCCTAGAATAATTTGCTGCTTTCCCTGTGCTCCAATACAGTTTTACAGTTCCTGTTTCTCATCCCCAAGCCTGAGCTCTTCCTGCTCTGCCCCTTTATTCTGCAGAGCAGCCTGTGARTGGTCCCCAGATTTAGCTGTGATTAGCAGGGTTGGGTGGCTTACATCTGCTTGGTGTATAACCAGTTCGAGTGCATCTCCCCCAAGAGGCAGTGCAGCTGTTGTGTCTGGCTGAAGTTTTGCAGGGGTCTTAATTCTGAGACTGTTCATATGYCTCACATCAGCTGAAGCAAGTTTGAGAATCTTCCATTTAAAGCTTTGAAGGGATTATCCTATTTCTCCCCCTTCCCCCACAGCRTTTAACCATCTAATTTTCCTTTAGAATAGTGCTTTTTAAACTTAGCCTGTAACTGGCTGGGGAGCCAATGTATTCATCTCCAGCCAAGCTCAGAAATGACATTCTCCTCCCTTTGCCTGCTCACACTATTAGTGCAGCCATTGCTCAGAACACAGTGTAGCAGCAGTCTAAATTGCCTGGTTATTTATGGRAGAAGTGAATATCTGTAGGAAGTAAAAGCAGTAGTTGAGGACTACCAGGGCAGTTTAGGTGCTGGCATAATTRTTGGCATTTTTTCATCTGAATCAATATTTATCATCACATTTGACACTGCACTTCTGCTGATCTATGACACCCCTGTAAGAAAAAGCAAACAGCATTTTAATATCACTTAAAATAAAGTGTCACATTCTGTTTTCACACCTGCTATTGCCACAGTGGTACCTAGCTCAGAGCCTTGGCAGGGTAATAGCATGCTTGAGTGCCACAAGAAACATGTAAAAAACCCATTCTGCATTCCTGGGTGCCGTCRGTTAATCTTGTCACACAAGATTTTTAAAGAAGGCATCCTGTAATCTATACTGGGTTTTTAATCTTGGAAGCTCGTTCCAAAAAGGGAGGGCTTCCCTTTTCATGTGCACATTGTACAGCAGGATCTTATTCAGACACTTCCTGGCTGCTGAGCGGAAGATGCTCCTCTATTGAAGATAGTTAATTGGCACTGATCCTTAATTAGAGCATAAAGAATGAACTGGGAGGTYTTTGAAGAGAATTTTAGTGCACAGAGTACCCAACCTAGGAACTGAGGGAAGATGGGGGTTATTTATGTAGCGTTCATTTGCATGCAGAGGCCTTGTCTCCACTGGAGTTTTTTCCCATGGACTCTCGGCAGCACCAGTTACAACTGGGAGGAAATAGTGGAAGRAGCTATTGGGGGAAATGAGTATTTTGCTCCTGTTTTATTGTGAGTGGTGGTGCCTGTTTGCACTGCAAGAGTGAGTAAGGTCCCACAGCCCTGCCAAGCGTTGGCAGGGGCATGTCGTGGTGAAGCTTTCATCCTTTGTGCACTCCAGTGTTCCGCTGGAATTCTCTACTGGAGCGGAAGGGAAAAGTCGCGCAGTACAAGCCCCAGCACAACATTCCCTGTGCTGCTCCTGTGCCCTGTGACATGGCAGGGAGGAGGTGTGAGCCATCCAGGCGCTGACAGAGCCGGCCCACGGCACAGCCGGGCTGTTACTCACCGCTTGTGCCGCTCCACCAGGGAGCAGGGAGGAGGATGAGGAGTCACAGCTCTTTTCCAGGCTGTGTCAGAGCTGGTTACTCTAGTTACTCATCAGTAAATTGATACAAGCACCAAAACTGCCTTGGGGGAAAAGCCTTCAGCTGCTGAGCACTCCAAACATCCTGAGAGGGTCATAAGRAAAGTAGCAACACCGGGTGACAGATCTACTCCTTGGCACATTCTGTGTTTTGTGCTGTTGCACGTGAATTCTGCCAGGGGAGCCGGGATCAGCTCAGTGGGATTCTCCGTGCACAAGCAGAGCAGTCTGCCTGCAGACTTTGGGACATTACTCCCAGAGARCCTCAAAGAACAAGYTGTAGCATTAGCCYGCTGCAATCGTGACCTGCTCTTTGGCAGTAGGTATTTGAGGTGCACTCTCTTAGTAAAGCTTAAACCCATATTCTGGGCTGAATGGATGCTTGTAGGATTGCTAGCAATACTCCATTRGTCACACTTAGATCCCATTTCATAACAGACTGGAAAGCCCTGTCTCATCATGTTCTATGCTTCCACTGGAGAGAATGCAAATGCAATAGGTAGAACAGGGAAGCTGCTGTTCTTAGCTTTCCATTATGCAGAGCTAGACAACTTTAAATTTGCTAATCCTCCCAGTGGATTATTAGCTGCCTACAGCTGCCATGTTGTTATTATATGATCAGAGTTCAAGCTAATCCCTCTACCTCTTGCCCTGGCAGGGGAGGTGATGAAAAGAGTTTGCAGCGTGGATAAGTACACTGTACCCTGACAGGCACGGCGAGGGCCTGCTTAGGAGASTCCAATTCATCACACAGCTCCAAGCACCCCAGGCAGGTGTTCCCCCACCTCCCAGGGAGCAGCATCTGCTGCCTCCAGCTGCCCGAGGCCACCCAGCTCTGGGTGTCTGGCAGCTCCYGTGCCCTGTCAGCGTTCTGCTGGAGCTGCCTTTCTGCTGGAGTGGATTCCTCTGCAGGTATTGGAGCCTTCTCAGCACTACAGGGAGCTTATGTACCAGACAAGATTTGTTCCTCTTGCACAAGTCAAGCAGTAGCTAATGTRAAGATGGGTTTTGTAAAACACAAAACACGTCCTTGAAGCTCCTGAGGTTGCTTGGAAAATCTTAGCCCGGGAGACCAGGGAATGGATGGGTTTAAGTGCAGGGTTAACATCACCCCATGCCCTGCATGCATTCCCCAGAGCCAGCACTGACCAGAGAAAATCAGCTTAAAGTCAGCTGTTCCCTTCCTGGAGCAACTCTACCCTCAGTCCAGCACTTCACAGCCAGCTGAGCAGGCCTGGTGACATGCTGCTGTTTTGAGTGGTGAGTTGTACAAGGACACAGTAGGAGTAGGTGACAAAGCCTGTCATCCCCACAGACAGTCTGCTGCCAACAATTCCCCAGGACACTCCGTTCATCTACCTTTAAGGCACAGAATCAGTTTCCCTGGAATTTGCACTTAAGAATCTCTGAAGCCTACAAATCTCAGTYCTGTTTGGAAGGTTTAGCTTGGACCTGAGCAGGTATTGACAGTCAGGAGGGAGCCAGATGTTGGATTATTTAATCATTCCATAAGGGAACAGCCAACTGGTGCTGTGCCCATGCAAACACCAGGATGAGCAAACAGAAGGCAGGCATCCAGACTAATATGTCTTCTGTTACCTCCCCATTTCTTGGGCTTAATTTAATTGAAAAGCCTTTTTCCCCAGAGGCCAGTGCCAGAGAAACAGAAACATTCACAAATCTCAACACAGGATACATGGGAAGTGCCTGAGCTCTCCTTGGAATGAGAACTGGGTTCTCACTTCAGCCTCCCTCTTATCCTGATTGTTCTTGCTGCATCCATCCTCAAGCAGAGCCTCAGTGTTTTGCAGTTTCTCCACAYGGTATTTGAGTGAGGAGGTGCAATCCAGCCACACTGTAAGTCAGACTGACTGCCAAGCATCAACTGGGAGTGTTGAAGTGTGACATGACAGCAATTTAAATCAGGATGAGTACTGTGCAAACTTGTGAAGCAGAGGCAGCAGGGACAGCTGCAGAGAACCTGCCTCTGCACTCCAGGGGCTCCCTGTCCCATTGTTGGGCTGGCTCACACCTTGCACTTAAAGCCCTGCCAGGCTGTAAATTCCAAGGRTTCAGGAGCAAATTTGGATGTGATTTATCTGCTCTTCCTACAGAAGGAGAGGAGCTAGGTGGGCAGCCAGCAGAGGGCAAGGAGACTGCCTTCAGCACTCTCAGTTCAATTTATTACTCTGTCACAAGTTTCAGAGGTAGAAATGTTTCATAGGCTTGTCCATGAGATTGTTCTAGAACACAGTTCCCCCAGCTCTCCCAGGCAGACAGCTTTCTCACGACAGAAGTTCACCAGGAAAAGTGCTGCAGAGATTCCTCTGACATATTCTGCCTGTAAGCCGTTCCTGGGTAATTATGCTCAGAGCTAAGTCTTCCTGCCAGCTTCATTTTAATCTGAGCTGGAAAAAAGAGCAGCTGAACTCTCAGCCGATGGGTTTCTTGGTTTGTGCAGCTTCTTCCACTATAATGAAGTTATTTGGTCAGCTGTAGCTGCGGCACAGACTCAAACATGCAAGTGCAAACTGTTAGAGCACTTGCCCCGGGGTACAGATCTCTGTAGCTGCACGCCAGGAGCTGTTGTAGTTGGATGGGAGTTTGTTCTGCTGCAGATCCTGAAGGGTTTTCCCTTTCAGCCTTTTTGGAAGAGCATCCAAGTGCTCAGCTAATGATAGCCTTGGGTTGTGACAGACAACAATCTTAGTGTCTTAAAATACTTCAGCAGCCTCAGACTGCTGGGGTGGACCTTTCTTTAGTTCTCAGAACACCATGCACCTTCCTTTCACTTAMAGAAAGGTGCAGGAGAAACAGATGACAGTTCTGACAAGGTTAGCGTGTGAAACACAAGCATCTCTTCCTCCTTCTCCCCCACACTAAGGCTGT